GCAGGGAGGGCGCCGGGAGGCTCCGGCGGTGGCGGGCCGGCGGGACCCGGGGCTCCGGCGGCGCCTGTGGCGGCCTCCTCGCCCGCTCTCCCTGGTGCAGCCCCGTCGCTTCCCGGAGCACCCAGGCCCTCCCCCCGCCGCCCTCGGGACCGGCCTGCCTCTACCCTGGTCGTTTCCGCGAACCAACAGCCAACGATCGTCAACTTCCCCCGGCCACATCGAGAGTCTGAGGGCAGCGTATTCTCTTCATCACGTTTCCAACATTGTTAAATTAAAAACTAGACTTTTCTTGGTTTCAGAGAGGAAGGAAGAGGGAGAGATAGAAACATAAAGGGTGAGAGAGAGTCATTGATCGGCAGCCTCCTGCACGCCCCACACTGGGGCTCGAGCCCGCAACCCGGGCACTTGCCCTGACCCGGAATGAACGGTGATCTCCTGGTTCACAGTTCGATGCTCAACCACTGAGCCATGCTGCCGGGCAAGTTTCCAACATCTTAAAAAAAATTACACACCATAAAGCCTACCTCAGCTCCAGATCTTCAAATACTGATGTCTCATCCACCTCTACCCCTCAAACCAACCTTTTCTATATAGTATTGCTAACTTATTCAACAAATTTTGTTGAACACCTACTGTGTTCCAGGCCCTGGCAGAGGAGGTTTGAGTTCACAGTCTAATGGAAGGAAAGAGGGAGCACAGACGTTTTTGAAGACTCAAACTAATGGAGCCCGGCCGGTGTGGCTCAGTGGTTGAGCATCTACCTATGAACCAGGAGGTCACAGTTAGATTCCTGGTCAGGGCACGTGCCCAGGTGGCCCGGTCAGTCCTAGTTGGGGGCATGCAGGAGGCAGCCAATCAATGATTCTCATCATTGATGTTTCTCCCCCTTCCTCTTTTAAATCAATAAAAATATATTTTAAAAAAATAAGCTAGTGGAGAGTTATAGCCGTGAAGTGATAAGTTAGAGGTCAGTGATAACTTTGAGTATCTATAATAAGATCTTGCCTTGGTAGGTCAGGGAAGGCTTTTCCCGATGAACTAAAGCTTGGTAAGATCTGATGTCTTTATGCAAAGAAGGGAGGGAAACCCTCAAAGCAAAGTGAGTAAGGTGTGAAAGGTTGTGTAGCTGGAGGGAGCATGGTGAGTACAAAGGCTTTTTAAAAAGGTCTCTGCAGGGGGTGCCAGAGTGGATTAGGGTAGAACAGTTAGGCTACTGAAACTATCAGCGCCTGGATTGTTGGAACTTGAAGGGTGGTGTGGGGAGGTGGGAAGAGAAACGCAGGGAGGAGAAAGGGGCATTCTTGAAGACGTGTTGAAGAGGTGTTGGGTCAGATGGGAGAGGGGAAAGGGAAATGCTAAGGTTTCTGGATGCGTAACTGAATGAATTATACCATTTCCTGAGCAAGGGCCCTGGAGGATAATCACTTTTGTGGCAGGGGTGCAGGGGAAATGACCATGAATCCAGTTTTAAACATATTAAGTTTGAAGTGCATTTGAGACATCTAGTGGCTGTTAAATAGACAGCAGGATATATGAGTCCTGAGTGTGGAGAATTCTAAGCTAAATATATAAATACTTAAGTCATCTACCTTTAGGTGTTTATTGAAATGTTTGGTTCCAAAGCACAACCAGAGGAAAAGGCCTTAGAAAACAAAAGGGGCCCAGCCAGCCTGGCTCAGTGGTTGCGCGTCTACCTATGTATGAGCCAGGTCACAGTTCGATTCCCGGTCAGGACACATGCCAGGGTTGCGGGCTTGATCTCTGGTGTGGGGCATGCAGGAGGCAGCCAATCAACAATTCTCTCTCATCACTGATGTTTCTATCTCTCTCTCCGCCTCCCTTCCTCTCTGAAACCAATAAGTATTTAAAAATATTTTAAAAAAGAGAGAGCAAAAGAGACTTGACCTCTAATTACAGAAGAAAAAAGGGGGATGGCTGCAGATATATGCAGGTTTGCATGATTTCTGGAAAATGAATGTCCTTTGATGTTTGCTGTATTCTTTGTGAAGTAGGAAATAGGTCATTTATTGATAGAGAAGGAGAGTTCTAAAGTTTTAAGAAAGTGGAAAAGTTTTAAGATAATCTTTGTGGGAAATGAGTTAATACATAAACATAGTAGGATTGCTACACAACAGTAGTGTCCACTTGAGGCTGGTTAATTTCCACACTTCTCCCTGTTACCCTTGCTACCAGTGTCACTTCTCCACTGGATTCCCGCAGTATAGCCTTCTGAGTTCCTGCTTCCTTTCTCACCCCCTTTTCCCCAACCCACCTTTTCTCACAAAGTGCCTCAAGTTATCTTTTAAAAGTGTGGCTGGTGTGGCTCATGGTTGGGCGTCGACCCATAAACCAATAAGTCATGGTTTGATTCCTGGTCAGGACACATGCCTGGGTTGCGGCTTGATCCCTAGTAGGGGAGGTTCAGGAGGCAGCCCATCAATGATTTTCTCTCATCATTGATGTATCTATCTCTCCCTCTCCCTTCCTCTCTGAAATCGATAAAAAAATACTTTTTGGAAGTATAAAGCAGCCTTGTCTGGGTAGCTCAGTTGGTTAAAGTGTCTTCCTCATACACCAAGGTTGTGGGTTCGATCCTTGGTCAGAGTACATACGAGAAAAAGTCAACCAATGGATGCATAAATAAATGGAACATCAAGTCTGATGCTTGTTTCTCTCCCTCTCTTCCTCCTTCCCTTCCTCTCACTCCAATCAATCAATCAATCAATCAATCAAAAAAACCACAACTATAAATCAGATTATGTCACTTCTCTGGCCAGAACTTTTCAGTGGCTTCCTATCACATCAGCAATAATCCAATCCAGAGTCCTTAACCTTGCCTATAAAGCCCAGTGTCACATGAACTGGTTCTAATCTCCTACCCTCTCCTGGTCAGCCTTGCTGACCTTACTGTTTTTTTGAAAGAGTCAGGCATATTCTCACTTTGCACTTATTATTTTTACAGCCTGGACTATTCTTCGTTCACATCTTTTTTTTTCCTTTTTTTTTTAGTATAGCAAGCAAGAATTTTATTGGCCGCAGCAAAAGCACATTCAGATGGGATGTTTTTTAAAGCTGGAGACAGTGAAATAAGGAAGAGCTTAGCATTGAAGAAGTAACAGGAAAGCCTAGGTTGGGCTGCTTTGGCTCACTGGGAAGTCAGAGAAAAGGGGGCCTTGGAGACAGGTTCAGGGGGTTAACTGAGGACCAGCCGCTTCCACTGCTCCTCTGGTTGGGGTCCCTTAGAGTTTAGGAGATGCTTGCCTGTGGGGGAAGAAAAGGAGAAGGGGAAGGTGCGGCATGCTCCCCAGAGGAAGAGTGCATGCCACTCACATCTTTCTATTGTTTGCTTGTTCTTTCTTTTTATTTTTTAAAAATTATTTTTGTTGATTTCAGAGAGGAAGGGAGAGGAAGAGATAGAAACATCAATGATGAGAGAGATCATTGATCAGCTGCCTCCTGCACACACAACCCCTACCCCCTCTGACTGGGAATTAAACTGTGACCTCATGTTTAAAAGGCGATGCTCAACCACTGAGCCACACCAGCTGAGCTTGTTCTTCCTTTTTATTCAGGTCTTTGCTCAAATATTGCTTTTTTCAGATACATTTTCCCTGACAACCCTGTCTAAAATAACACCCAGTCAGCTCAATCCCTTATCCTGTTTGATTTTTCTCCATACCTCTTATCACTTCCAACTAAGATATAAGTGTCATAGGGTAGGTATTTGGTTTTGTTCTCTGGTATATTTCCAGCACCTGGAATAGTACCTAGCACACCGTAGGCGCTCAGTAAATATTTGTTGAATGAAGGAACAAATAGATATTACTTTAAAAATGTTAGTTTCTTGAGGGTAGAGATTTTCTCCCCCCTCCTTTTTTAACCTGTATCTCCACTGCTTAGCGACATAAATCAGGGTATTTTTGTTGTTGTTGTTGTTGACTGAAAAACTGAATCATGAATGTATAGTGGAACCAATCTGCCTTCTGTGGTTTTCTAAGTCTAGGATGCTCAGTTGCACCCCCCCACTTACCTCTCTACCTATTGCATTCGAACTTCTGTCCCACCATTACATTGACGAAGCTTGTATTAAAATTGATCTGGTTAGCCCTGACTGGTTTCCTCAGTGGTTAGAGCATCGGCCTGTGTATGGAAGGGTCTTGGGTTCGATTCCTGGTTAAGGGCACGTACCTCGATTGCAGGTTCACTTCCCATCTCCCCCCTTTCCCCCCCAGTTGGGGTGTGTTTAGGAGGCAACCAATCAATATGTCTCTTTCACATCAATATATCTCTCTCCCCTCCCTCCCTCCTTCCACTCTCTGAAAAAAGCAATGGAAAAAAATATCATTGGTTGAGGATTAACAACAACAAAAAATAACATTGATCTGGTTACTAGATTCAGTGGATACTTTTCCAGACTTTTTATTACTTTCTGGGTCCTGTTGATCCTGCCTCTGTCTCCAGCCTCCCATCTCCACTGACAACTCAGGTTCATGCCTCACCATTTTTCACTTAGGTAACACAGTACCCTCCTAGAAGTGGTTCTCTTACTTCCAGGGCACTTGTTTTCTCTTTTCACACTGTTGCCAGGATGACCTGTCTAAAAGACAAAGAAAACAAAAACCAATTATGACATTTATGAGACAATGGAAAATTTGAACATTTGATAATATTAATAGGAATGATATAATGATTGGGAATATCATATTTTCTTCAAATAATACAGGGGAAGGAGATGTGGTTAGGGGTATGGATGGGTCAAGATTGGCCATGGGTTGATGGTTGTTGGAGTTGAGTGATGGGTACATAGGGGTTCATTATATTATTTAGTCTACTTTTGTGTGTGCTTAAAATGATCTGGGGCCCTAGCTGGTTTGGCTCAGTGGATAGAGCATTGGCATGCGGATTCCAGTCAAGGGCACATGCCTGGGTTGCAGGCTCAATCCCCAGTAGGGGGCGTGCAGGAGGCAGCAGATCAATGATTCTCTCTCATCATTGATGTTTTTATCTCTCTCTTCCCTCTACCTTCCTCTCTGAAATCAATAAAAATATATTTAAAAAATAAAAATAAAATGATATGGGATGAAAAGTTTAAAAAATCCAAGTGTGATCATATCTTTTTGCTTGAAATCCTTCAATGACTACTTGGGCTAAAATCCAAACTCATATGATACACCTGGTTTTTCTTTTTTTTTTTTTTAATGTTTTTATTGATTTCAGAGAGAGAGAGAGAGAGAAATAGGGGTGGGGGGGGGAGAGAGAGAGAGAGAGAGAGAGAGAGAGAGGGGAGAGATATTGGTTGCCTCCCGTATGCACCGCACCAGGTACATGAATCCGAAATCTGGGCATGTGCCCTGACTGGGAATCGACTGGCAACCTTTCTGTGCATGGATGATGCTCAACCAACTGAGCCACACCGACGAGAACACGCCTGGTTTTTCTGAACTAACCCTGACACCATGTCCAGCTTTCGTTCTTGCCATTCATCTCTTCATACCTGGGTCCAGCTACATGGGGTTTGTGATTCCCTGAATTCCTATGCTCCTTCACGTTCTTTGTGCTTTGTGTGCGCTGCTCCTCAGCCTGGAGTGCCCTCCCTGCTTTCCCTTGCCCTTTAAACCTCTGTAGAAAGCCTCCCTTGGGATGAGTGGAAGCATTGGCCCTATTATTGTAATTATCTCTCCTGCTCTTTGAAACAGAGACAGTCTGACTTCTGTGTCCCACAAGTGCTTGGCACTCAGTAAATGATCATACAATAAATTATTTTTCATTGTTAAATTCTCAACACCTAACATGACACTTAACACATGTTTAATAAGATATTGCATGTGAACTACTGTTTTTTTTGTGGGGGGGGGATGTTTTTTTTGAACTACTGTTGTTAACTTGATGATGTAGGTTAGGAAGCTGTACTTCCCACATCTTTCAGTAGGAGTGGTAAGTTGATAGTAGAACAGACTGGCAGAGTATAAGTAAGAGCTTTTGTTTCTTCTCTGCAGGCATGGGTTGGAATTGGAGCCTCTCCTGGTACCTGACTACACCCAGCACCATGTGGCTACTAACGGCTCTTCAATCACCTATTGATGCCTCCCCGAAAAAAACGCCGCCAAACATCCCAGAAAGCCCAGCTGCTATTCCACCAACAGCCCCTGGAGGGCCCCAAACACCACTATAGATCGCCACAGCTTCCCATCACCCACACTAGACAGGTGCCCAGCAAGCCCATTGACCACAACACCATCACTTCCTGGGTAGGCCATGGGTTTCTTACTTTGACTTTTACTCTGTTAGGCTTCTCAAAATACTGATTCTTCTGCTCCTTGAACCAGGGCCTTCAAAGAGTAAGATTCATGGGGCAGGGACAAGGAGGCAATATACTCTTTCTGTCTCGTCAGCCATCTCTTCTGCTATATCTTCTTTTCTAATTTCAAACTGAACTCAGAAAGTTCAATCTGGATTGGTTGGAATTGGAGTCTACCGCCCCCCCCCTCCCCCCCGCCCCGCCACACACACATTCCTCTGACTGAAAGAGCTTAGTATAAAAATTTCACTATCCAGTAGCTGGGTGAGAAAATCCAGATAAATGGCAGAACTAGTAAAAAATGAGATTGTTTCCTGAGCTAATTACTCTGTTTACTGTTTAATAGATTGAACCTCGAAAAAACCCCACAGAAATGGCCTATGTCATATTTTCACAGCTGAAAAGCCCATATAGCTACTGTATGTCTGGGAAGTAGTATAGCAAAAGGACCAGACTAAAGCATAACATCTGCTTAGGACTGCTTAATAAATATAAACTGCTCGGGATTGCTTAGGAGAGACATATTTGCTCATGGTTGTAGAAGAAACAGAAATGTTAGAATCCAGTGGATGAGAAGAAGAATGAACATTTATTAAGAACTGATTACATGCCAGGTCCTGTGCTATTTGCTTTCAATCTACAATCTCACTCCCTATTCTTGCATTCAGCCATTCATTCTTTACCTGGGGCCTTTGTGCAGGCATTCTGCTAGGTGCTGGGATCAATGGTGAATAAAACTGCTGGTCTCTGCCCTCAAAGTTTAAAGATAGTTAAACAAGTTGCAGCTATATAGTGTGATAAAGAAAAAGAGGCATTGTCCCCTTTCTTACACATGAGGAAACTGAAAGCCAGAGAGATCAAATAGATTGCCCAAGCTCATATCCCTTTCTATTAATATCCCATTGAACAGGTATTTTTGTTTTGTGTCCCTTACAATAGTGGGTTCCATTTATTAATCCTCACCTGAGGAAATACATATTTTTCACGATTTAAAAAAAAAATTTTTATTGACATGAAGAGAGAGAATCTTCGATGGGCTGCCTCCTGCACACCCCCCTACTGGGGATTGAGCCCGAGACCTGGGCGTGTGCCCTGACTAGGAATCGCACCATAATCTCCTGCTTCATGGGTCGATACTCAACCACTGAGACACACTGGCCAGGCTCATTGATTTTTTTTTCTTCTTCTTTTTTTAGAGAGAGTGAAAGGGAGGGAAAAGGAAAGAAGGGGAGAGAGAGAGAAACATTGATGTGAAAGAGATACATCAATTGGTTGCCTCCTGCTTTCACCCCAATAGGGGGACAAGGGATCGAACCTGCAACTGAGGTACGTGCCCTTGATCAGGAATTGAACCGGGGACCCTTTGGTACAAGGGTCAACACTCTAACCACTGAGCAAAATCGGCCAGGGCCATAGTGAGTCCCATTTAGGATTCTGATCTCTGGTCATTGGGTATAATTTCTTCCCTTAGGTTTGTACTTGGTATGTAGCTGTCCTCACCTTTTTTTGTTTTTGACCCTTAGGTATCACCTCAGTTTGATACAACAGCAGAAAGCTGGTTCCTAGCCAACAGGAAAGGGAAACAACATCACCGAGACCAGCCAAGACATTCAAATCGAAAATCTGCCACCTCCAAGTTTCCACATCTAACATTTGAGAATCCACAGTCTTCTTCCAGTTCAGCCACACTTGGAGGCCCCTTAATCCAGGAGAGCCCCGATCACTCAGTAAAGGACATTTCCGGAAGGCCCATAGTTCCAATGCTCAGTCCCCCAAGCTATGGGGAAATGTCAGCACATGAACTTCAAAACTTACCTTATATGTTCATTGCACCTGATATCCAGACCCCAGAGTCATCTTCTGTGAAGCAGGTGGGGCTTCCCCCAGATCAGAAGGAAAACAGCCTGCCAAGCTGCTCCCTTCACACTAGCACTCCTGAGAGCCCAGAGCCTGGGCCTGTTCTGGTTAAAGACACCCCTGAAGAGAAGTATGGGGTGAAGGTCACGTGGAGGAGACGACGGCACCTGTTCACTTACCTCAGGGAGAGAGGGAAGCTCAGCAAAAGCCAGTTCCTTGTGAAAAACTGACTGGATTACATCAGTAATCTCAAGAAATTGATTGCTGCTGTTCATAGAGTTGCTAAAGTTACTTTTCTGACTTACAGAAGAGTTCATCAATAGAATAAAATGGAAATAATACCAATAACATCAAGAAAAAAAGGTATTTTAACCAGAACCTTGGATGGAATTCAGTTCCAAGATTTGCTTTTTAAAATTTATAAACAGTTTTTAGTGTTTTATATTTTTCTTGTATTAACTGTTTAAAATTTTAAAATATCTTGTAGTAACTGTTTAAATTGTGTTTAAATAAATGATTGCAGAAAGTTTTTGGAGAACCCTGCTTCTGACTGCCAATAATGCAGCAACACTGCCTCTGCCACTAAAGGTCTTAATTGTTTGATTTAACCACTACCCATTAACCCTTTAATCACCTTATTCAAACTAATTCATTCCACATTTTTGAGTACCAACTCTGTTGTGCTCAGTGGCAGCTTCCTCTATGATCCCATGGATGGAAAAAAATCAAAGCAAATTCTGACTTTATAGTTGAGCCGACACCTGTGCAACTTTGGCTCTCCTGTTGAAAGGCAAGATGACGAAAGGCAGCAAGCCCTGTTTTAGTGGCTGTTGTAGAATCAGGAAGATAAAGGGAGCATACTTAGGTTTGCTGTTTTGATTTTTTACTTCCAACCAAAAAATTCTGTAAATATTAAATAGAATGACAAAATGATTTCTTGGAGTAACTGTTTAAAACAGGGGTCCTCAATGCCGAAACCGGTTTGGCTCAGTGGATAGAGCGTCGGCCTGCGGACTGAAAGGTCCCAGGTTCGATTCCGGTCAAGGGCATGTACCTGGGTTCGGGCACATCCCCCGTAGGAGATGTGCAGGAGGCAGCTGATCGATGTTTCTAGCTCTCTGTCTCTCTCCCTTCCTCTCTGTAAAAAATCAATAAGATATATTTAAAAAAAAAAATAAATAAAACAGGGGTCCTCAAACTTTTTAAACAGGGGGCCAGTTCACTGTCCCTCAGACAGTTGGAGGGCCGGACTATAGTTTAAAAAAAAACTATGAACAAATTTCTATGCACACAGCGGCGGCAAAAACACCCGGCAGGCCGGATAAATGTTTTCGGCGGATCGCATGTGGCCCGCGGGCCATAGTTTGAGGACCCCTGGTTTAAAATGTATGTAAATAGCCCTGACCGGTATGTATGGCTCACTTGTCTGGGCATAGTCCCATGTACCTAAAGGTCACTGGTTCGATTCCTCGTCAGGCCACATGCCTGGGTTGTGGGCTCAATCCCCAGTAGGGGGTTTGCAGGAGGCAGCTGATCATTGTTTTGCTCTCACATTGATGTTTCTCTCTCTCTCTCTCTCTCTAATAATCAATAAAAATAATTTTTTTTAAAAGGAGTAACTTTAAAATGTGTGTAAATAGCCCTGGCGAGGTAGTTCAGGTGGTTGGAGTGTCCTCCCATATAGCAACCAGGTTTGATACCTGGTCAGGGCACATAACTAGGTTGTTGGTACCCATGGGGCGGGTACGGGAGGCAACCAATCAATGTTTCTCCCCCCCCCCCCCTCTATCTATAATCAATATTAAAAAATTTTCGAGTGAGGATTTTTAAAAAAAAGTATATAAATAAATGTGGGAACTTTTTAGAGAACACTACTTCTTAGTATTGAACTGCCCAGTTAACAAAATGTCTTCATTGTGCTTTCTCCATACAACCAGCATCTCACTCAGCTTTAAGAACCTACTCTGTGTCAGGTCCAGGCCAAGGCAGACTAGCAAGGATTGTTCTTTTTACTGTATAGATGGGACTTTAAAGCACAAGTAATGAACCATGTTCAGGGTCACAGCGAATGGAGGCTGACCCAGCCCCAGTGCAAAGCTCTGCCCTCCTAGCTTGTGCCCAGTTCTAGCCTTCTTAGAAATGCAAACCCAATGTGGAAACAACTTTGACCTTGGAATGCTATAAATTAAACTCAAGCGCGATAACTTTTGTAAGTTCTGTAAGTTCTAATATTACAGACCTCGGGTAGCGCGCCCTCTCGGGGGTCTGTGTACACACCACGGGGGTGCGGGGAGGCCGCTCAGTTTGTGGGGGCTGGGCGGCTCCCTGACCCACTTGCTTCCCAGCGGGGGAGCATCCTCGGTCCCCGCCCGCAGAGTGGTCCAGGCACCCAGCCCTCGCGCGTCATCCCCGCTCGGGCGCAGGCGCCTCCGACTCGGAGTTCCTACGCCCCTTAGAACCCCACCCCGCCACGCCGGACGGCGGGAAGAGCCAATGGGAGCGGAGCGGCTGGTCCGCGGGCCAATTGGCGGTGGCAACAGTGCGGGGTGCGGTTTCCAGGGGGCGGGGCCCGGACACGCGCCAGGCTTGGCACCCCAACCGCGGAGTCGGGAATCTGGTTGGTGGCGGCTACTTTCTGAGCGGCGGGAATGGAGGCGTCGCGCTGCCGCCTCGGACCCAGCGGGGACAGGTCAGAGAGGGGCATGGCTGGTCTCGTCTTGAGCGGGGAAGAGGACAGAAGCTAGACAGGGCGGTCCTCTCGGGCTCTCTGAAGGGAGGGCGGTGGGCTCAGGTAGGGGAGGGGGGCGCTGATTTGGAGCCCCCTCGCTCCTCTGCCATGGAGGACCTCCTTTTTCCCAGGGTGGCGGTGGGGAGCGGCGGCTCAGCATCCCGCCCCGGGATCAGGGACTTCAGGTCCTGCTTGGGAAAGTCTTGGAGTTTTCGTTTCGAGCTCGTCTTGCCCTCTGTGGGCCTCGCTTTCTCTAAACGCGCCAGTCCTGTGCTTCACGCACCGCCTCGGACGGTCATGACAGATTGGTAGAAGTCTTTCCTGGGTCCTCGAAGCGGAAGGTTGCGGGTGGTGTTTAATAATCTGCTCTAATGCCATTGCTTTAATGGGCTGTAAATGCAAAAGTATTCTTTTGCTGCTATTTGCTTTGTAGCAATTATCTCTTACTCAAGATTAGCTGTCTTATTTGCAACACACCGTCCCCCTTGTCTGTGCTCCTCTTTCTCGGCCATGTCCCTTTTTCTCCCTCTGCCAGAAATAAAACGATCCGAAATCTCAGCCTGTCAGTTGTTGTTTGCCAGGTTAATGAAAAGTTAATGGGGAGCGGCGTGAAATCGTTGGCTTAAAACTTTGGCATTGTCTGAAGATTCAAATCATACACACCAACTGTATCCCCCTCTTTTTATTCCATACCACGGCAAAAACAAACAAACAAACAAAAAAACCCCCCCAAAAAAACAAAAACCAATAAAACCACACACACAGACATTTAGTGTGTAAGGATTTAGCCTGATATTTAGAGTAACAGATAGGTAAACAATTCTAAACCATTTAAAAACGTTGTTGGGAGCCCTGAGTGGTGTGTTTAGAACATCGGCCTTGCACACCAAAGGGTCTCAGGTTCGATTCCTAGTTAAGGGCACGTACCTGGGTTGCAGGTTCCATCTCGGCCCTGGTGGGAGCACGTGCATGTCTTTTTCTCGCATAGATGTTTCTCTCTCTCTTTTCCCCCTTCCTCCCTTTAACTCTCTCTAAAAATCAATGGAAAAATTATCCTCGGGTAAGGATTAAAAACAAAAACACAAAATCATTGTCACGGAGGAGGCACCTATTTTCCTCTTTCATCGTTTTTCTTTATGTGATAACTGTGCTCTGTGAAATTTGTTCACTGCACTTTTTTTTCAGGCTGAGAGAAAGTCTACATTTACAAGTATAAATATGGAGGTATTAGGAGTAGGTAAAGTTAAAATTGAGCACCTTCATTGAATTCAGATGGTCTTTGTTCAGTTGTAGGCACTCAATAAATCTTAATTAGTTGAATAAATTTAAGGCAATACATTTCACGGGTACCAGATGTTTGATATGACTCATGATTTTTGGGGGAAAAAGTGGAATTGACTTTGAAATTGAGAATGGCTAATTTATGGGATCTGAAGTTTAAAAGGATAATTTTAAAGTTCTCCCCTTTTTTTCCTTCCCAAAGAAACCAGCTCTTTAATTTAGACATTGACATCAAAGGGGAATATGTGAGTCACCAAATGTTTCTCCTGCCCTAGGTAATATTAGTGCAGCCTCTATTACTGTTTAACTCATCTGTTGTTCAGAGGGAGTGGAATGTCTCATGCTTTATTGGCTCCAGGTTGTGTGTTTAATGTGTTCCATGAAATACATGGCTAGAGCTTTTGACATTAATACCTTTTTAATGTGAAGTATAATATCTGACTTTTAAGTTTCTTGTGATTTTTTTTCTTTTTTGAATTATGTGACTGTTTTACCATGAGGCAGATTTCTTTTCAACAAAGTAAAAAAATTAACTAATAAACTTCAAATATTTTCCTATGCCTGAATTATTTAGTGAAAATTGGAGATGGAATTTGAAACAATACTCTGAGTACCTTTGATGAGGCTAGGCATTTGATATAGATTCCCTAGAGATGACAGCGGTTGGCTGGTGCTAGAATTTGAGCTCCCTCTGGCCTTTTGTTCCTGATCAAGGATTGTAGATGTGGTGAGAGACACTTCTCAGAGTGGGTGACCTTGTGACCCAGAGTTGACTAAAAAAATCTTTGTGGTTTATCCCTACGCCATGATTTCTCATTAGAAATATGAGCAGTAGTAGTGGCTGGAGGTTATGTATTGGCCAGGCTTGTTATCCTTTCATATTCTCCCTTTCTTAAATGTTTCATCAGAGCAACTGCTTGGCAAACAGACCTTACCCAGTGCTTAAAAATACTTAGACTAACTAATACATGACTGCAGTTTGTTTGGCAAATATCAAAAGGTATAGTAAAGACCTAATAATGTCTAGCATGCATGCATTTCTCCAATAGTGAAGGCTACATACAGACCTAGAAAGGAAAGAATAATCCCTGAAGTAAATTTCCTTTCTTCCAAGATCCTTCTGTCTAAGCAGACAAACTCAAACATTTTTGGAATAGTTTTCATTTCTGGCTTCTCTTATTCCGTCCTATGGAAACTCTGCTGCTTCCCTGAATTTGTGCCCGTTGAAAGAAAAGGTTGTTTTTTCTTACCAAGAGGAAAGAAAAGTATGCTTGAATTGCTCTGAGGAGGAGTTGAAGCTGCCTTGCCTCTTTGAGGATTTTAGGACGAGAAGGGGCCTTGATAATTCCCTTAGTTCTCCTATTTGAGAGTAGTTCCACCGTGGAAGTAAGACTTCTTTCAAACTCGAATTTCCTGTCATCTGCTTTTGCTTTATTTTTTCTGAGTAAATTCACTGGAATAAGCTCTTTGTCCTTCTAATTCTATCTGGCCTCATCAGTCATCCTTACTGTTTATAGTAATGAAAGCTGTAACATTTTCCTGGCCTGGTTAAGCTTAAATTCCCTTTGCCTGAGAGACATAGTACCCACATGCTGATTGATGTTCTGTCTTTATCCACTCACTTAATACTTGGTGCGAGTCTTGATAATGGGATTGTCATCTCTGTCCCTTTGCCTTAGAAATTCTGTGAAAACATTCATGATGAGCACTATGTCACAAGTCCCGGGACCTCTGGAGCAGTGGTTGCCAACCTTTCAGACCTCACGGACCACCAGTGGTCCGCGGACCACCGGTTGGCAACCGCTGCTCTGGAGGACCACAATTCTGAAAAGGGTTATAGGAATATTTTTATTTTGTATAAGATGGCACTGCTGTTTTTAATATATTTTTATTGATTTCAGAGAGGAGAGAGAGATAGAAACCTCAGTGATGAGAGAGAATCATTGATCGGCTGCCTCCTGCACGCCCAGTACTGGGGACCGAGCCCGCAACCTGGCCATGAGCCCTTGACCAGAATCGAACCCAGGACCCTTCAGTCCACAGGCTGATGCTCTATCCATTGAGCCAAACCGGTCAGGGCAGCACTTATTGTTTTACCACATGGCATTGTGGTAAGGGACAAAACACTGGAAGCTTCTACTGGGTTCCTGAGTTCCAAGCCCAGCTTTTTCTCTCTCTAGTGGTGTGATCTTGAGCAGCTTATCCCCTTGTTTGGTTTCAGTTTTCTTGTTTGGTTTCAGTTTTCTCCTCTGGAAAATGAGGGCTTCTTCAGATTCGCTCGGTGATTTATAATGAATTAATAAAATTATATATATATATGCTGCACATGGCTCAAATTTCAAAAAGTACAAAATTATATTAAGTGAAAATTATGTCTTTTTTTCATTGTCTCTATGTCACCTACTTCATTCATTGGTAGGTTTCTTAGGGGGCCTTCCAAAAATATTCTATGTGTTAAATAATCCTTTCCAGACTTAAAATTTGATGATTTTTGAGTTTTAGGTAGGATATAATAGTCTAAAGTCTATAGCTACTTTAATCCTGGGCAAGATCTATTTTTTAAAAAATATGAATTATAGTTGTTGCAAGTTTGTTGTTATTGTTAATCCCCACCCAAGGACATTTTTTCCGTTGATTTTTTTTTTTTAGAGAGAGTGGAAGAAGGATGGGGAAGAGAGTGAGAGAGAGAGAGAGAGAGAGACTTTGATGTGAGAAAGACACATCGATTGGTTGCCTCCCACACCACCTGGACTGGAGCTGAGATGGAAATTGCAACCCAGGCACGTGCCCTTGACTGGCAATTGAACTTTTGGTGCACTGACGGACGCCCTAACTACTGAACCACACCAGCCAGGGCATAGTTGCTGCACGGTTTTTTTTCTATGATAATTAATGTAGAGAAAATAGGGCTATAAGAAGAAAACAAGAATTATTTTCCAAACAGGCTTCTGGAAAAATAAATCACTCTATTTAGTTTTTCAGGAAAAAACTTCAATAAATATACAGTTTGCCTTTAATTTTAGTTTTAGAATGAAACAAGTTTGATAGAGAATTGACTTGTTTCTCCATTGAAACCTAGTGTAATTTTCTTACAGTGATTTAACACTCCGGTGTGGGGTGAATTTCCCGCCAAAATATAAGATGGCTCTGTCTTTTGGTTTTGTTCCATCCACCAAAAGGGTGGATTACAAACAAATATTTGGTAATACGCAGTTACAATTGGCCCGAGTTTACACGTTTCCCGCACTCCACCGCAAATCTATATGAACCGAGTTAAAGACGGCTCCCGCGGAGTACGCGCAATTCACGCGAGCCGACTTAACTCGTTTCCCCCACTCCAAGTGTTAATATGTCATGCAAGCCAGAAGCAAAGCAGAGAGGAGTGTTTTGACTGAGTAATGTTTATAAAAAGGGGAGATCTGGTGCAGCCACTATGGAGACAGTATGGAGTTTCCTCAAAAAACTAAAAATGGAACTCCCATTTGACCCCGTGATCCCACTTCTAGGAATATATCCCAAGAAAACAGAAACACCAATCAGAAAGGATATATGCACCCCTATGTTCATAGCAGCACAATTCACCATAGCTAAGATCTGGAAACTGCCTAAGTGCCCATCAGTAGATGAATGGATTAGAAAACTGTGGTACATCTACACAATGGAATACTATGCTGCTGTAA